GAAATCAATATGATGAATGACCTTAGCTCCAGAGCTGAGCAGGAGGAAGCGAGCGGCTTGGGGAGCCTTCAAGAACATCGAGGGAGTAGCGAAGAAGACGAAGAACACCAAGCTCCGTGCCCACCTCTTCGATTCCGCGGTCCTTCCTTGACGTACGCCTCAGAGACTTGGACTCTACGAAAGCAGGATGAGCATGCGGTCGGCGTTATTCAACGCGCCATCGAAAGGGCGATGCTCGGAGTTTCCCGCTACACGCAAGTGAGAGAGGGAATCCGGAGCTCCGCACTCCGCCGACGATCGAAGATCAGAGACGCCGCCGCATTTGCCAAGGTTTCGAAGATCAGGTGGGCCGGACACGTCATGCGTTTCGAGGACGACTGGACCAGAGCGATCACCGACTGGATTCCACGGGATGTCAAGCGAACGCCTGGACGACCGCCTATGCGATGGTCAGACTTCTTCGTGAAAGCTCTGAACGAATGGTATGAAGTTCATCGTGTCCCTCGAGCAGAGAGAGTTCATTGGGCAACTCTTGCACGTTGCAGGGACGAATGGAGACGTTACTGGCGCCCGCTCGAGGAACTCGATGATCAACGGGAGCACAGGTGATACAGGTGATACATACACAGAAATCAAAAAGCATCGATGTATCGACGCAGATGCGACTGCCCCTTTTTGAGGAAGTATTGCAAATTCAAATTTCTGTAACTTTCCATCGACCTCGTCCTCTTCACAATTTTTCTTCACGAAAGAGATAAACCCATAGATGGGCACTGATACACTAGCACAATCGGCCCCGCCGCTTTGACCGCGTCCACCCCCGCGTCTTTTTTGCGGAACTCTGATCTTTTCCTCAGCATTTTCGCTTTTTTGGGTTGTAGCAGGTAGCTCCGCTCCTGTAAGAGGCCGCTGCCGTTCCATAGAAGCTTCCCACTTTTGAAAAAATTATGCTGATGCCAGAATGGAGTTAACTGGCAGGTTATGGTCCCGCCTCTCACTCGGAACACACCTTACTTAATTTTTTTGTTCAGCAACCTACCAGTTCGGGCTCGATCCTGCCGGCCTGGATTTCTCGGAAGAGGGCGGAGCTTCTAGCGTTGGGCGGAGCTACCTATCATGGCCTAAAAAGGCCAGAATTCTGAGGAACAGATCAGCATTCCATGAAAAGACACAAAACTGGGCGTGGTCAAAGGGAGGGGGCTCAATATGCCAGCGTATAAGTGCATATCTATGCATATTTGTTTTATGAAGTAAAGGTTTGAAAAGCGCGACGTCGAAAAAGTTATAAAAATTCGAAATTTCCAATAACTTCCTCAAAAGGTGGGCAGGATAGTCGGTACGCCAGTTTTTATATGTATGTGCGAAGTGGCAAAATGAAGAAATTCGCAGAAGCAGAGTTTAGAAATTGGTTCCTGAAAAACCATGGCTGGCCTGAAGAGTGGGCGGGAGTGTTAGGGTGGGGCTTGCAGCATTGCCTAGTGCGGGTAACTAGTCTGCTTGGTCTAGAGTGTGGGTAAGATTCCTCTCTAAAGGTATCCAATTTGGTTTAGAAAGTGTCTGATTTAAAGTGAAAATGGTGTTTGTTCCTTCTTTGTGTCACTTGAACCATACGTCGTTTGAGCGAAATCCATCGTTAATGCTGATCATGCTTGGTACCAGACTTTCGGAACGCTTTCTCATACCTGCTCCTGAAAGTGACGTCGATTCGCTGTACATGCACGAGGCATGCTCAAAATTATGGGAGTGTCGTGATTTTCCTTAGAGGATACCTGTGGCATAAGATTGCTCATGCAGTGTCGCTTGATGTAGCCTTCACCGCTCCTTGTGAACTGGTTTTGATCTTTATATTCCAGATTCAACGGTCGATATGTCATGGAATTCGTCTAGTTACCAGTGAGGTGAAACGACTTTCGTACTTCTCCGTACGTTATACGTAGGCTGCTGCACTACTGTAACAAAGGTGTTCGAGTATTTCTATCGCAAATCTGAAACGGTTCCTCTTCGCAATTCTAAATGCCCAAGTCTTTCAGAAACATGGATAGTGGTTCATTGCTCGTGGGTTTGAAATCGGAAAACAGCGTTTATGTGAAGGATTTGTTGAAGTCTGTGGATTCCTCTATGTGGCCAGTCGAAACTCTCATCCCATTCGTACTGAAGGAGGCGTTGCGGTCTCCCAAGAATCACACTGACCTCATCTACATCGAGAAATGTTTTAGGTACACATTTGCATGATCCATTTCAAAGCATTTCGGCACTTATAGGATGAACATTGAAAGGGTACGGTCCGAGCTTACTATCTACTGATGCAATGTCCTCGAACTCTGTGGTTGCGTTGAGATTCGCACCATGTGACGTCGGGCAGGCCCGACTTTTCACCTGTTGAATTGCTTCGATTGTTCATAGTGCTAATAGGAATGATGTTCTTCAACTTTCTCAGTTTTAGGGTTTTCTAGGATGTTCACTGCTCTGCGACGATTACAAGAGCTGCAAAAAAGAGAGGCAGTCGAACTGCATAAGATGTCCTTGCTCATAGTAAGTTGCTTTTCTCTGTTGTGTCGGAAGCTCTCCAGTGCATCATTCACAAAAACTCTTCCAGGAAAGCATAAGTGCCATGTTGAAATACAAGAATGTCAACGATGTGGACAAGTTGGGCGATTACGTGATGCGAAAATTCCAGCTGATTGTGGTGAATATAACATCATAATTTGAACTACTCGTGTGTGGATCTAGAGGCGGTCTTATAGGAATGCTGAAGGAATCTGTCAAGCTGCTTTCATACTTTGCGACTCGGCCGACTCGCCGTTTCGGAAGGATGCGCAGAAGGGAAAGTATAGTTATCGATCTGAGGATCTGCGCTTTGGGAGAATCAGTGGACGAAAAGGATAAGATAATTATCGGTCGCCGATTCGCCTTGAACGCTAACCCTCTGAAATATTGGTTCTCCTGAGTCGCGAAGTATGAACTTTTCGCGTAAAGTATCCTTCACGGCTGTCGTCGTGATTAATGCGCCCAAAATCTATAATATGTTAGAAGATTATTGAAATCCAGCTCATACCGTAGCACAGCACCGTCTTCTTCTACATATTTTTCTATTTTATCCAAAAATATGTAGATGTTTGTAAAATCGACTTAATCCTTTGAATTTTAGCGTTTTTATGGTGGTCGTCGCTATGGAAGACAATTCAAGTATCTTGTATCGGTTTGCCATCGTCGTTCGCGTCTACTGGATTTCCAGAAAAGGCATTCCTCACTGTTTCTGAGAACTCCCTCAATTATTTCTATACGGCTTGGTTTTCAGATACCGTTTCCTGTACTCTGACATTCTCAAAAGGTTTTGCGAGCGTGGCCTTCAGTTTGTCGAAAGCTTGATCTCTGTCATGATTACCTAGTTACTATTGTCATTTTCTGGTCTTAGTCCTAGTAAGACAGCTTTGAATTGTTGTCTGTAGTAACTATTAATGTCCGATCTCAAATTTCTTTGTATAATACTGAAGGATAAAGATGTACAGCTATAGCAGTGGCATTATCTGATCACCCGTTACTGTCGGTCATTACCTGTGACGTTGAAGACACCTTATTTTTTTTGTACGTTCGATTTATTAGAGATGTAGCAAGTGCGCAGCCAGGTGGCCGCAAAGGCTCCGTAGTGTATTCCAAGGCAGCCGGGGCGCACAGTGCCCAGATGAGCTTCTCTACCTATTTGACATAGCCTTCGGCCTCAGATTGTCTGTGTTATTACAGTAGAAATGATGTGGGTGTGTGCCGTATGGTGTTATTTTCTTGGGACCAAAGTGTCTTGAAACTAATGGATTATCCTAACTGATTAGTAGATGCCTTGGATGAACAGTGTCAAGTTGTCAACTACATCGGAACCCACTCAGGTCTAAGTGGGCTGATGATTAGGAGCATCGTCCGCGTACGAATACTGCTTCCTGGAAACAATTAAAGAAAGATATGGCTCGCTTCAACCGTTGCTACCTCAAAATCCCAACTTTTTTTTGCTGTGACCTCGCCTGTAGGGGTTATTCAGATTTCGAAATGGCATTTATTTTTGGTCCCGCGACTTCTTTTACCAAAATTCCTTCGAACTTTGCGAAGGTGATTTGATTTCGAAAGTAGCATGCACTTTTGACGCACGCTCTTTGGTGCCTGTTTGGCGCCGCCGCCCCATCGAAAGTTCGCAAAAGAAATGCAGGATTTTGTTTTTTGTATTTAATACTTATTTTATTCCAATAAAATGTAAGTGTTATATATCATTCGAAAGCTTATCTAATGCTCTTTCTAAATGATACTTCAAGATTGGTTGTAATTCTTTTTAGAGGCCACAAAATCGTTGAAGGCGTTTTTGGCATCGTCTTGGTTTTTGAAGCATTTCTCTTTAAGATAGTTGTCCAGATGCTTGAAAAAGTGGTAATCGGTGGGCGACAGGTCTGGTGAGTATGGTGGATGAGGCAGAGTTTCATAGCCCAATTCGTTTAACTTCTGGAGGGTCGATTGTGCGACGTGTGGTCGGGCATTGTCGTGGAGAAGAATAGGTCCCTTTCATATTGACCAACCTTGGGCACATGCGTTGAAGCTTCTGATGCATTTCGTCGATTTGTTGACAGTACTTCTCTGCCGTAATTGTTTCACCAGGATTCAGGAAGCTGTGATGGATGAGACCGGCGGCAGACCACCAAACATGAGGTTCATCTTCAAGGCTGGTGTTGCCAGAACGAAACTTCTGGAACCAACGTTGGACCGTACATTCGTTGACACTTCCTTGACCCCAAACTTCGTTAATGTTTCGAGCTGTCTCGCAGCGTTTCGGCCTAGCTTGAACTCATAGAAAAAATAGTGCGAAATTCACGTTTTGACATCTGCAATAAAACGTCAATAAAAATGATAATAAAAAGAATTACAACCAATCTTGAAGTATCATTTAGAAAGAGCATTAGATAAGCTTTCGAATGATATATAACACATATTTACATTTTATTGGAATAAAATAAGTATTAAATACAAAAACAAAATCCTGCATTTCTTTTGCAACGACCTAATAGACACTGCACATCCTAGCGATGGAGTGGGCGTACTCTACTCGAACATGGCGTAGGATTCGTTGTTCGTGGCATATTCTCATTTAATGCAAGTGTTGTCCTATCTTGTACTGGAGAAAGCCATGGTTGCAATTGTTCTGTAACTGCAGCACCCCTGCAGAAGCGCAGCTGCCGCTTCGTTGAGATGAATTACGCGGTCACGGACTCTCCACCTCTGGGATATAGAGCCTTGGCGCCGTTTGGCGCTAATTTAGAGCCGGCATCTACTTGGCGCCAGCACTTCTCACACCTAATTGTGTACAAACTAGTATTTGGAATTACACCTCATATTGCGGAAATGGAGAAGGCTTCGTACTTCATTTGAAGGCAGTTGGCACGATAAATCCCCAAGACGAGTAGGATTAATACGCCTGGCAGGACGGAATTCCGCGACCCTGAGCAGGCGCTGCATAGCGCCTTTTCCAAGGAAGGTGCCCTTATAAGGGCCCTATCAAGCACAACATCCGACCCAAACGCCCGCCCGCCCACAAATGGACGACCGTTCCTGACGCTCGTACTGCTTCATTTGCTAAGTAAATTATGAAGCGAAGGGATTGGTATGAAGCGGCGCGGTGCTGCATGGATATATATGAGTACACATGCAGCCGTATCTTCGGTAGCGGTTATTGGCAAGATGCCTACGGGAAACTCGTCCGAAATCGATTTTCAAGTCATTGAGAACGGAGGCTCTTT